CCTATAATCCGGTGCGCCTTATGTGTGCGTTAAATACAGTAATGGCACACATAACTGAGACTGCGCCCTATAATCCGGTGCGCCTTATGTGTGCGTTAAATACAGTAATGGCACACATAACTGAGACTGCGCCTTTTAGTACGGTGCGCCTTATGGTCGTGAAAATGCGGTAAATATTTCTAGACTTTGGAGCTGGAAAAATGTGTAACACAATAATGTCTTGCTTTGTTCAGTAAAATTAATTACCACAAGTTTGTGGATGCAATATTATTTTGATTAAAATGTGTAGCTAAACTATTCGGCTACAGATATCAATATCATATATATAGAGATAGAATCACAGCTTTCATCTGTTAAATCAGATTCCAAGCTGTACAAGTCTTGAAGTGAACAAAGTGAGATCAGTAAAACCCTATTAGAAAAGATCAGATTCTCAAAAATCAATCTGAAAAAGAAGTTTCGGGGGGAAAAAACAAAACAAAAAAACTGAAAATACAAAAATCAGAATATGAAAAAATATCAAATAAGATTAAATGAAATGTTACACTAAAAGCTTTCCTTAATTAGGAAATGTTTCAGAGTTTTATTTCTCGATTCCACCTTTTTTTTCTTTTTTTTATTACCATCTAAATAACAAATTTTCAGCTTGCAACATTAATGGGACAAAAGTCACTCCGTATACCCCCGTTAATCTGGTTAAGAACCTCCAGTGTTGGGAAACATTTTATATTTTTGCAGTTTATGCAGAAACCCTGATCTCCATTTCAAAAGGGGCTCGTGTTGCATTATGGGACTTGTAGTACCTGGTGGGAGTCCAGGATCAGAGGAACGGTGGACTCTCTGTGGCAGCAGGAAACGGGACTCTCCTGGAGCGCGTCTCGGACTTGGAGGTCTGGTTCGGACGGGTCCTTCCCGGGGAGGGGTCGGACGCGGCCGCTCTGGAGACTGATTTAACAGGAAATAAACGTGAAATAAAATCAGCTCGAGTGAAGAATGAAACAGCAGGTTTCTCATCATTTGCCTACCAGTGGGGTGTCTTTAACCGGTTCAGCTGAGTGGAGGGACGAAGCAGGCCAGGTCTTCACATCCTCACCGTAACCAGGAGGCACCAGAACCTGGAGAGGAAAGAGTTTCCCTGTGAAATTCAATCAAACCTTCATGCAGCTGATTATGTGGAGCAGCAGGCCGACCTGTCCGTCGATGTAGGCCACCTCTCCTCTGAGGACGACGCGAAGGACTTTACCCTTCACCTTCAGGCCTTGGAAAGGGGTCCACTTGGACTTGGTGAACTGCATGGACTGAGGAATGACCCACTCTTGCTCCAAATCAACCTGAAAATCGCATTTAGGGGAGAATTAACTCAGGATTTAAACCTACAGTGTTCATGCTTCTTCGTATCAACAGGACAAGTCAATATTTCCCCCTATTATACGGAGATGTTACAGCTTTTAATGTCGTGTTTGTTTCTACCTCCACATAGGTATTTTCCTGGACAGGCAGGTTGAAAATCTTGCGGGGGTTGTCATAGAGACGTCTGATGATGTCATCCAGAGTAAGACGCCCATCGCTGACGGCGGTCAGCAGCAGCGGCAGCATCGTTTCCAGGCCGGGATAACCAGGAGGAGGACGCTCAGAGTTCTTCTCCTCTACAGAGTGAGGCGCTGTCGACCAACAAAAACAAAACTGTTTGTTACGCAGGTGTTAACGTTTATTTTCTTTGAGAACTTAAAGCGTCCAATCTCTGACCGTGATCCGTAGCAAAGCAGTCGATAACGTCCAGGTTTTCCCACAGTGCCTCCATGTCCTCTTGAGTTCCCAGCATGGGTCGGACCTGTGCTCGTCCCTCACCGATCTCCCCCACGTTTTCCTCGCACAGGAAGAGGTGATGGGGAGCCACCTCACAGGTCACCTGGATGCCCTTCTGCTTAGCAGCTCGGATGACCAGGATCTAAAAAATAAAGTTAAAATCTTTGTATGGGTCCAAAGCAGAGATAGCGTCACCATTTAGCTAAACAGTTCCTTACCTCCTCCTTTTTGGCCACATGGCAGATGTGGACGGGGCGCTGATAGAGCTGCGCCACCATCAGGATGGCGGCCACAGTTTGCTTCTCAGCATGAGCTACAATGGGCATGTGCTTTGGCCAGTTCTCAAAGTGCTGCAAACAGAACAAGACAGGTTGCTTATTAGCTTCACCAAAAATCCAAACTTCATGCACAGCAGCTCTGTGGTTAGAAAGCTTATCCAGGTACAGCAGGTTTAAATCTAAACTTGGGCTTTTATTTAAAGCTGGCATGTCCATCTTTCCAGAACTTTCCCACACCACCACTTTTCTTTAAGTGACAAAACATGCATTTTTGTTAGTTAGCACACGCCTTGTCCAACCCAGCAATGGCTTTAAAAGCATCACTTTTTGCGGGTTTTTTGTGTAAACTGAAACAAATTCCCATTTAAAGCTACAGTGTGTAACTTTTAGCGACATCTAGCGGTCAGACCGCAGACTGCAGCAACATGAACACACACCCTGTAATGCCAAATGTATCATATTTGATACAGTTTCTGAAATGTTTTGCGTCTGACACCTTTTGCATAATTTAATGGTAAACTTTAAACTTTGCTCAAAATCCTATTGTACACAATCAGATATACCTGATAACAGAGGGCAGAAGACTACACAAAAAATAATCTTGACTTATCCCATAGTAATAAATTATTAGTATCAAAAAATTTTTTCAGTTTTTTCTTTTTACATATTTTGTTAAAAGGTCAAATAAGGACTTCAACCCCAAAAAAAGTAATTTTCTCTTGTTTTATTTTTGGCTTTAAAGGGTTAAAAAAGGGTTAAAAAAGAAAAATTTAATTTTTTTTAATGATGTTAAAAATTATAGGTATAGATTTACATAAACAAAAAATAGCTTTAAAGATTAGCTGGAACTTAAAATACATAACCCTTAGTTATTTCAATATATAATTTAAACTTTTTTTGAAAGCATTTTCCAGATTTAAAAAAATATGCTTGAATTTGCCATCATAGCAAATTATGTTTTTTTTTTTCCTTCTTTTTTTCCCCCCATTTAGGGAAACAACAAATGGAGATAATTAAATTATTTCGGCAAAATTGTGTTTTGGAATTTACCAACGCTCTTTCTCTACCAAGTATGACGAAAAAGCTCTTGTTTTTGGGATGGTAATGGCTGAAAGTGATCCAAGAATGTGGAAACTAGACTTTGCAACCCTGTCAACCTCACTTTGTTGTAGGTTATATAAGCCGAACTTTTCAATGCAAAAAAAAAAATGTCCATCTAACCAAGTCTTGGAATTTTAAATCAAGTAAAGTATATTTGGTTGTTTTGAGATTGATACAATAAGCAATAGAGTCCGTTAGATTATTTATTTTCTTAAATATATTCTCCTCAAAATAAGTGCAATAATCTGCCAATGCTGTAAGACAATCACACTTTGTAAGAAGTCTTAAAATCATGATATATTCTATAAACATGAAGTGTAATTGTCTTAATGCATTGGCAGATTATTGAGCGTATTTGGAGTACAATCTTCTCAAAGATTAACAATCCAGATGAATCTGCCTTTGTTAAGAATAACAATCTTTCTTTGTTCCATAGAGACTTTTTGCAGACTTAAAATCCTTTTACTTCCACTTCGCCATCTCTGTCAAAAATATTTTATCCATTAGTTTTATGGAAGATTGTATTACATGCGGATATGTGATTTTCACTTCAAGTTTTTGAATGTTATTTGTGTTTTTCTTTATGTATTGCTTAAAAATACACTAGGAAAAAAAAAGAACAAAGTTGTCGCGTATCTTAAAGCTGTATATCTCATCTAAAAGTGACTTAAGTCGTTTAAGAAATACCTTTATTTAAAAAATCTGTATTGAAGAAGAGATTGAAACATTAGTAAATAGAGTTAATCAGTGCATTCCCAGTTACCCTCTGGTCTTTTTCAGCTGTATTTATAAAACAAACAGGAATCAGAGTCTTGGAATCAAAGTTAAAGTCAGACATTTAATCCTCCTTCTGGTCACAGCTGCTCATTCTGATCTAACAGCTTTTTCTAAGCTTTATTTTGAACATTAACACAAAGTCAAGTTTGGTGCCGGCTTCATCACTACAAAATAGTTTCTCATATGATAATATTTTTAAGCACCTTGTACAGCAGAAAACAACCTTTAAAGCCTCGAAAAAATCAACTTCAAAGCAACTTCAACCATCTATAATTTTCAAAAACCCTGCAAGCATTTAAAGGACAGAACAAGTGAAAAAAATCATTCCAAAAAAAGAAAATTAAAAACAATCCACTGGACTTTGTTTTCCAAGTTCGAAGACGTTTCGCTTTCCATCCAAGAATGTTTTTAATTAAAAATAAAATCAATTCATTTTCTTTTTTTGGAATGACTTTCATGTCTTTACTTTTCTTATAAAAAGAAGGGATTCAACCGACCTCCATCCACAGAGAGACGTTGTCCATCTTGAGGGTGGAGTACGTGTCGTTCAGGTACATCTTCAGACCTACAGCCTGGTTTGCAATGGACGGCAGAATGGTGGCGTTGTCTGAAGCTGCACCCAAATACAGGGCGTAGTCACAGCGACAGCCCACCTTGGCAAGCTGAAGGCAGATTTTATGGTTAGCATCATATTGGATCAAACACTAAAAGTTAGCTTAGTGCAGGTTTATAGAGGTTTTCTTTAAACTTATAGTTCAAAAAGTTAAGATCTGCTTGCATACCGTCTGAACCAGCGCCAGAGTGCTCGGGTCTGTGACGGCGGGGGACGTGTTGGGCATCGCACACACCAGAGTTACACCTCCTGCTAGAGCGGCGGCCGTGCCGGAGGAGAAGTCCTCCTTATGGGTGGCACCGGGTTCTCGTAGGTGAACATGGACATCGATCAGACCTGCAGTTCAACAAGAACAAATTCAACCAACAAATCTATTAAAAACACAAAGCTCCAACATTTCTAAGGCAGCAACAACAAACAAAGCAAACTAGAGAGAAATCTACTTATATGGGAATTAGGATTGTAACAATACTAAAATTTCAAACCCGATATCGAAACCCAGGAAAGCATTTGATACTCATTACCACTGGAAGAGAACGTTCCAAATAATCAAAGGCATAGAAACATTCATTAATAAGATCCTCAGTCTAGAAATCTAAAAATAGCAAAAGCAAAATATATTAAAAGAATTGTATTTAGTATCGATACTGTTCCAAATTTGTATTGCATCAGGATAATGTATTTGAGTATCGATACTTTTTAGTGTATCAATACTTTTGGCAACCCTAATGGGAATTTAAAAAGAAAATTGTTTTTACAAACAAAGTTAATTTATAAACTA